TAATGAGGGTTGTGGTTGATGAGGAGGCTCGGGTGAGCGTTGAGATGGAAGTACGGGATAACATGTTGGAGGGGATTATATGGATATGAATGACTCGCTGGGAGCTTGGGGAAGGAGGATCTGCGTCTTGGTTCAGAGCTACGTCTGCCAAAGGAGAGTTTATCTATGAGCCGAGGCAGTCTGATGTGACGGAGGAGAGAGAGTGAGAGTGAGAGAATGGGCATAAGGATGCATGAGGATGTCATGGGTGGACGTGTGGACTTGTGACCGGCACGGAATGCATCTTTAGCCGAGAAATCAATCACACACCTAATAAAGTGCCACATCGAGAACACGTGGTGTAGTTGGAGCGTAAACGCCGATAATTGATTCCGCTCATGGCATAATACCATGCTGAATGCATGAATGCATGAATGGCATGAATGGCATGAATGAACTCGCTCGAGTAGGTGAATGGCAAATGGCAATTGTGTCTTTGTCTAAAATCCTGAGAAGCGAGAACGGCTCATTGTCCAACTTTATCGATAAATAGATAGCAATACTTCATCTTACTATCCTTGCATTGATCATCTTATCATTGGACTCATCATACAATTGACCCAGCATCATTGCTAAAAGCGAACTGAAAAGCAGTCAGGAAAAAAATCGAAAAGCGTAATCCCTCGAAAAATCAGGCAGGATAGAAGATACGATATTTTCGAATAGTCAACGCGATATCGACTTATAGATCAAACCTAGAAAAGGACAACCAGCATAAGAAAGGAGTTTCGGTGTCACAGTGATTTGAGTCAAGCAGAATAACACTCTAGCCAAGATGCCGCGGTTCTACGAAAACAAGTACCCCGAGGTGAGTCAACGGTGCACATCTAGCATCCTGTCAATTGAAGAGAGATGTCGAACGGCTAGACAATGATGATTGAAGACTGATATCTTTGCTCTGCTTGCACGACTCGTCCTCGTCATGTACTGTCTCTCTTTGCTTTGCTTCTCTTTGTTCCCCCCTGGCATGCGCTCGCTTTCGGCTATATAACTATATAGGTCGACCAACTGGTCATGGTCCAGGTCCAGTCGATCGAGGACATGGGAGCTTATGTCAAGCTGGTGAGTTTGGATGAGGTATTGAACCTCTACTCATTCATGACCCCTTCAGACGAGCGACTTCCTCGTTCTCTCTCTCTCTCTCTCTCTCTCTCTCTCTCTCTCTCTCTCTCTCTCTCTCTCTCTCTCTCTCTCTCTCTCTCTCTCTCTCTCTCTCTCTCTCTCTCTCTCTCTCTCTCTCTCTCTCTCTCTCTCTCTCTCTCTCTCTCTCTCTCTCTCTCTCTCTCTCTCTCTCTCGTCGTTCTTGCTGTCCCCGAAAGGTCATATCGTTTCCTGGTGGATTAGGACTGACTTGTTTTTGTCTCGCTTCTAGCTCGAATACGACAACATTGAAGGAATGATCTTGCTCTCCGAGCTGTCTAGAAGACGTATCAGATCCGTACAAAAGCTCATCAAAGTCGGAAGAAATGAAGTCGTCGTTGTCATGCGAGTGGACCCTGACAAGGGTGAGTTGGTTTTGGTGGACACGATGCGTGATGCGTGATGCGTGATGTTGCCCCAAAACAGACATCTGTCTGGATATGGGTTTAGAGAGTAGGCTGATGCTGATGCTGATGCTGATGCTGATGCTGGTCGGCTCCCGTGATACGTTCACTTCCACAGGATATATCGATCTGTCCAAACGACGAGTCAGCGCCGAGGAAGTCGTAAAGTGCGAGGAGCAATACGAGAAGGGTAAAGCCGTCGACTCGATCGTCACCCAGGTCGCCAAGAAGCGAGGAGTTTCCCCAGAGTCATTGTACGAGAAGATCGCTTGGCCTTTACATAGGCAATATGGACATGCCTACGAGGCTTTCAAGGCTTCTATCAGGTGAGTGATGCAGTTACGTTTCATGTTTCATGCCTCACTGGACTTTCCTGTCTATACGGATGATGGGTCACACTCGGCTGTCTTGCAGCCGAATGTTGATACCCTCATGCATCCGAAGCATCGTCGAAAGCTCTGTGCTCTGATCTGATACGCGGGATGCAAGCTGATATGTGTGCTTTCCATTCCTATTCTCCAGCGAACCCGATGCCATCTTCGGTTCCCTCGGTCTTGACGACGAGACCCTCGCCGACCTTCGATCAGGTATCGCCCGAAGACTGACTCCCAAGCCCGTAAAAGTACGAGCCGACATCGAGGTGAAATGTTTCTCTTACGCCGGTATCGACGCTATCAAGCGAGCTCTCACAGCCGGAGAAGCCGTCTCCACCGAGGAAGTCCCTATCAAAGTCCGATTGGTGGCTCCTCCTCTTTATGTATTGAGCACCACCTCGACGGATAAGAATGGCGCGATTGAGTTGATGGAGAAGGCTGTTGAGATTATTGGCGAGAGCATCACCAAGGAGAAGGGTGATATCACTATCAAGATGAAGGTGAGTCTACAGTTACAATTCCGCAATTTGTATTACACCTTCCATCAATCCCTCCACCCACGGCGTCTCATTTGGCCATAGTCATAACACGTTCCCATATCCTTGCTCGTTACTATTATTGAGCATATCGGCTAGTTTACTGGAATGGCTGGCTCCCGGCTCGGCCCGAAAACATCTATAAAAGTAATGCAGCCGCTGACAAAAATTGGGAATTCTTCCTCGCGAACAGCCCAAAGTCGTATCCGAGACAGACGACGCCGAGCTCAAGGCGCTTATGGAGCAGTTCGAGGTTGCCAACATGGACGTTGCGGGCGACGACGATTCGGACGAGGACGACGAGTAGGCGTAGGCGTTGTTGGGCAGAGTCACTCGCGTGCATTCAGGCGTGATATGACATAGCCGCAGCGAAAGCGGGGTGCGGTAAGGGGGATATACTTTAGATTGATGATTTCGAACATCGATAATCACATGGACATATGCATATTCAATGCAGCAATCTACCATTCGCGGCGATACATAATATTGCACAGTGGTGTTCCCATCTTCACTCTCTTAAATCCCATAGAAGAAATTGCCCCAGTTATGAAATTTCCCGATGGTCTTTCTTTCGCTGACAAGGTGCTACATGCTCAATGCAGGATGCTGATACGAGAAAGGCTAAACACTGACTGGCTAAGGGTCGAAGTAGATTGTCCAGCCGCCACGTACTGTAAGTACAGCATGCACTGTAGACATCGACATTTGGCTGTACTGTACCTCGATAAGTAAACTCGCTGTCGATCGTTACAGCATACTGTACCAATTCTCACTTCGCTCCCGTTGTTCCCGACTGCAACGTCCATAATAACCGATAAATTATAGACGGTACGAGTATAGCTAGGTTTCTCTTACGCCGAGATTACACATTGCCGCAACCTCCGTCAGCCGCAGCCAAGAAACACCACCATCTTGACCTGTTGTATGATTATCGCAGGTACTCGTACATACAGTACTTTATATGAAATCCTAGTACGAGTACAGTACACTGTAACTCGATCTTCTTACAAACAATAAACAGAGAGAACGATGCCTTGTTCAGAGTTCAGACCTTGTAAACGGTCTGGATGTCTGACGGAGTGATATTCTCTGAAAGACTTGACACTTGATACTTGATACTTAGTACCGAATGAACGAGTACCCCTGTAGGGCATCGAGACATGACATGAGACACAGTAGACATTGCGAGAACAGCACGACCGACCGATATTCGGATGACTCTGTACAGTACGCTCGCGTTCGGGCTCGTAGCCAAGCAAGCCGAATCCGAATGTATGTACCGTATTCATTTAGCAATCGGAGTGAGAAGACTACTGTACATTTTTCGTGTTGTTTAATCAAGGCGAAAGGAATGACAGGTAGAGTACTCGTACATCTTATCTTTATCAGAGAAGATACGAGTGACTCTGGTCTACTCGTGTCCATCCTCCCGCTAATGAAAGACGAGAACGAATACTGAAATTGGGTGAGCGGCCGCAGATGGTTTACATTGCACTACCCGATTACGAGTAGAGTGCACTGCGCCATCTTGCATGCTGCAGTACTATGTGATCACACATCTACCGAAGTTCAATGAGAATTAGATTGGTGTACACCGGTCGCCCAGTGGGAGAATGAGACCCAGCCAGGCTAAGGAAAACAGGAAACTCAATGGAGGCAAGGTTGAAGTCACCCGCGAACCAAGAACAAAACGGGGACTATTTACATGTCATCTGCTCTTCTGAAGCTTGGGGATACCTTCTTTGATCCAAAGGGTCTGATGGTATTCTCCCGGTTAACGTGCAGGAAGCGGCTGTGAAGGAAGGGAGAACAAAAGTTAACTTACAGCAGCATAATACCGCCACAGATGGTGGCAATGCTCGTACGAAGCCATCTTGCAAGGACTATGGAATTCCACTCTCATAGTCGAACCATAGAGAAGATCTTCGTACGAATTACCCCTTCAATCCTACACCTGTCCAGTATGTATAGATCTAAACGGAAGGAATCATGCCTGGAAACTCAAAGATACACGTAGAGTACAATGGGTATCACCCAGTCTGAAATTTAAAAAAAAGTGAAAAACAAACTATAAAACTAGAGCTGAATGCCTTACTCTTCACGCAGGTCCTCTCCTCATCTCATACCCGTGGTTCAAGTGTGGTTGCTCTCTTGCTTTACAAGGATAGCCGTCTGTCCACAGCAGACACAAGTGAGGCGGATATTGACGACCACCTCAAAGATCAAGTCTGGCACAATTCATCCAATCTACAGTAGATATTGGTTGGCCTGAAGACCCTTCTCCGCGCAACAAATCTTGGCACTTGGACACATATATGTAAAGAAGACAGTAAAGACACGCAGACTGGGGAAAGGCGAATACCTACAGCTGATAATCACAAATAGGTAGGACGTGACATGCAGAATGCACGACATAAGAGCCGCTGACCATGTTCGCACAAAGGATCGCTTCGAACAGACGGATTGGTTGCGAAAAAAGGTCAAAAGGTCAAAAGGTCAAAAAATATTGGAGGAGCAGGGAATTGAACCCGGTACCTCGTCAAATTGCTTGTTCGAAAGAAACTGCTAATGACGCGCTCTGCCAAATGAGCTACACCCCCTGATTTGTTGTTTGTGCTATCCTTAACCTTGTTATATAGTTTGTAAAACTATAAGTCTTGCACTACCCTCCTTCTTGCCCTTCGCTTCGCTAACGAGTACGGCTCCGTTATTGGATGCGATCTGTTTGGTCGGCGGTACGATCAGTGCCATTAGTAAACGCTACGCGACATAAGTGATCTGAATATCCTTCGAACAGTTCGAAGCGCTTCAAGTCATTGAGGCTTTGTTTTCGTTAAGTAATAACGCCCTAAAGCACGTGCGTGTTGCAAACGAGATTGCTATGGTTGGTTGACCAAGCAGTCAGTGGTCGATAAGACAGCTCATTACAATCAGTTACAAGGCGTGCGCGCGGACATTATAGCCCGGAACCAAAATTTTGTAGTAAGATCCGTGTGATTCTCGTAAACGTAAACAGCTCAAAAGTCTGTTACCAGCTGGCTAGCGAGAAAGAGGCTAATGGCAAATGGCTAATGGCTATTCATAGCACTGACGCCCCATACAATTGCAGGCAGTGCAGGATATCATGTCAAAGATTTCATCATCTGTTACCTCCAATCACAATCCTCGGACCATCATTTAAGATACTATTGACACGTCCAGCTAAAGAAAAACATTGTCGCAGCCCGCCATAAGAAGCCGTCATAGTGCGTCTAGCTCCTTATCGATTCGCCCCAACCTCTCGAGCTTGCCGCCTGCTGCCTTCCTTTCATCGGTCCAGCGTCAACACGCCTCACCGGATGGACGGACAAACCATCCCACGCGGCTGTCTCGCCGTGCCCCTACCATCCTGCTTTGCCATCTACCCATGACTCCCTCCTTGATCGCCAGAGTATCAACTAGCGCAGCATAGACCTCGTAAATTCCTAGGGCGCAGTACCCTTGTCATCCAAGATGTCGCCGACAACCCCTATTCCTCCTCGACAGACTCAGCCTAATCCAGTCACACGGATCGACCATCATGATCCCGAGACACCCGTCCGGCTACGAGCCGCGTCTACCTCTGTGCCTGCGCCGATGCCCAACATCAACAGATCCCCTGAGATCCAAGCTAGATCAAATGAAAAGCACAACTCGCCCAATCCAAACCCGCGGTTGTCACCCATCATAAGCCAGCATGCGCAACTCCCCCCCAGCGCTGCTGGTATCGCCAGCCCATCTCAACCACAATTCGCAGAACTGCTCACCCCTCTCAAGCTGAGAAGAAGGAGGAATAATAAAGCGAATCAGGACCAACAACAGCCGGATATCGTTCCGGTGCAAGTGGCTGGTCCCTCCAGATTAGGTTATTATACGCTCGAAGGTGATTTGTTCCGAGGCGCAACGAGGGACCCGACCGTACCATACCACCATCTGCTGGAGGAAGATGCCATTTCATTGGGATCGGGAAGCACGTCTAGCTCGAGCTCGAATTGGTCTGCAAATCTCGATAGAGCGAGGGCAGTAATCGAACGTTTCGGAGAAGCGTTGGGTGTAAGGCGAGGGAGCAATTCTTCCGGATCGTCAAGCTCGAGCTCTTCAAGCGATTCTGATTCGAGTAACGGGAGATCGCAGGCGTCTCGTCGCCAGAAGAGAAGGAGGAAGAGGAGGGGGAGTCATAATCTGAATAGGACGATGTCTATGCTTAGCCGACAAACAACAGTCGAATCACACGCACCCAAACGACAACATCTGCCCAAGAGAAGAGAGTTCACGCTGCTCGTTCCGCCTAAGGACAAGGAAGTTGACATCGGCGTCAGATCCTCCGCCGCATCATCGGAGAAAGAGTCTTCGACTTCGAGCGACGGTAGTCCACCGCTTGGTCCGAAGACATACCCTCCAGATAGAGTGGTAGTGACCCCTTCATTACCTGTGGTACTAGAACAAATCCGCTCACTTCGACTGGCGAACGGCTACCTACCTACTGACTTCACTCCTCCCCAAACGCCCGGAGTGACATCAAACATACCTGTACGGCGAGGTGGTTCAGCACCAGGTCGTACGCGCGCACCAAAGGGTACACCATCGTTCGTCAATCCCCCACTCGCATCCAGACCGCTGGCATCGCGCACTCAATCGCGTCTACATGCTCTTCGAGGGGATCTAGCTGGATCAAGTAGTGCTGGCGCTGCATCTGGAGGAGAACCTGTACGGCCTAAATCGGTGTCAGACCTACTTGGCTTAGCTAGACCTGAATCGACTGGAAGTTTAACTTCGTTAAGAGCGGAATATCACCCGCCGTCTAGACTTGGTACACCGACTCTTCAGAAGGACGGGTTCGATTTTAGGAGTCATAAGGGCAAAGCGAGTGAGACTTGGTGGCTGGATGTATCGTGTCCTGGCTGGGAGGATCTAAGGGACATCGGCGAAGTGAGTCCGATCAACCATAGCTGATGATCTGTATGCTGATTTATGGACGCTAACTCCGGTCTAGCTTCTCGGCCTTCATCCTCTTACGCTGGAAGATGTCCTCCAGCAAGATCCCCGAGAAAAGCTCGACCACTTCGATAAGTTGGGATACTACTTCCTGGTGGTTCGAGCCTTGGATGAGAGTTACTTCAAATACACACCTGGATCAGCCAATTCATCAGGTGCAACCCTTGTTCAAGCGCCTGGAAAGCAGACTGCGCGTTCTCCTGACACCATACCTGGCACGGAGAGCATAGAGATGCAGGAAACCGTCAATCGAGAACACGAGAAGAAAGAGGGCAGACGAAGGGGATGGGGTATGGGAAGAGCAAGTGGGAAACACGCGACGAAGTCCGGAGAGAAAGTGGAAATTGTAGAAGATAATCCGGGTAAAGAGGGTTTGGAGGGTGTCGGTGTCGGTGCCGTGAATATCTATCTGGTGGTGTTTGCGGATGGAATCGTTAGCGTGAGTAGTGACGTGCAATGTGTTTCCCAGGCGTATCACAAGACCATGCTTATATTCTCGACTCAATAGTTCCACTTCGAAGATATCTCCAAGCATACTCGACGTGTCCTAGACCGAGCACTCAACTTTCCCAATCCCGAACATGGGTCCGACTGGATAGCACACGGACTGATTGACTCCATCGTCGACGCCTTCTTCCCTCTGATCAGATATGTCGACGGCGAAGTGGACGATATCGATTCTCTCACTATTGACCCCACGACTGATCCAAAGAAGACCACCGCCATACTGGAGAGCGAGCCAATCCCTTCACCCAACACCTCGTGGAACGAATTCGAGATCGACGAGAAATCACTAGCGAAGAATGAAAAACCAAGTCTTTTACCTACAATGTGGCGTCAAGCTCACGATCTCAAGAAATCCCGGGTACCCTTGCGGAAACGAATTCGAGAAATGCTAGGGATACCCAAAACCCATCTCGGTTTACAAGCGCGCATGCATGTTCCGAGACCCTTGATGTACTTTCGACTATTCTTCTTGCCGACTTCTTCAGCGACGAGGAGGAAACACGAGCAAGTTTCAGACGCCGTCTTTGATCGATCGACCATGTTGAAGAGGATCACGGATATGAGAAGGCTGGTGACTGGGTTGACTAGGCTGCTGGGCGCAAAGGGGGCGGTCATTGCTAGGCTGAGGAAAAGGGCAAGAGATGAGGGCGTGACTATGGAAGCGTACATCGGTGACGTGGAAGGTGAGTTCCTCGTGCCATGTAAAATCGCTTCGACCTTTGTCCGAGACAATGCTGAACCTTCCGGCCGAGGGACGATTCTGTACTGATATTGACGTGATCGTTGCCGTCCGCTAGACCACGTCTTGCTTTTGCAGACCAGTTTGTACCATTACGAGTACATCCTATCGCATTGCCAGCCCGCCTACCTATCACATCTTAACGTTTCTTTCTCCTTTGCAAGGGGTGGCACAGATAAAGCCATCTTGGCGCTGTCCACAGTTGCTATCTCGGTCCTGCCCATGCAGTTTGTCACAAGTGAGTGAGGGTTATTCATCCAGAATCGGCTATCTATCTGCCTTGTTCCCTTCAGTGTATCTTAGATCTCAGACGCTGATCTATTTCGCTATGTCTATCCAGGCTTGTTCTCTATGAACGTCCGAAGACCGCAGAACGGTGACCCCCATCGAGACGACAATCGAGAGACAGACGGGTCCATGGCGCCCTTCAACTACTTTGCAGCCATCGTTGTAGGCATCTTCTTGGTCGCCTGTTGTATGGTGACTATCATCCGATACTGGAGGTGGTTGGCGAGGAAGAAATGGGGCAGGCTGAGGGGGGCCGACGTACCTGATTTTTGGGAAGGGTTTTGGGGTTGGCGATGACGCTTCCATCCGTATCAACTTTCCACCGCGTCTTCGTGCTGTGGAAAGCTCTTTGATCATCCAATTCTTGTCGTGTTTGTCTTCATCTCTTTCGGTATCGGCTTCTTGGCATCACAGGCTTCATCACCAATCACAATCATACTCACATTCAATTCACATCACTGTATCATACCATTTCACCCAATACGAGCTCTCTACATTGCCTATCAGGCTGTTCCAAATGAATCGTCTCAAAAAGCATTTAATGGTTCCTTATATGGCACATCCTATCATACTTAACGGATATATTATATCATGCATTCGAGATACACATGTTCTTATCACTAGCTATATAACATTTGCGTACACTGCAACTGAATGCTAAATGTTAAGAGAAGCGCCTATTCGGCTATCGCCGCCCCGAGTCTCGTCTCGCGGATCGCTCTGACATGACGATGTCATAAGCGCGACTGACGATGTCAGGTTGAACGACCGAGGAACTATATTTCCTGTTCCTCCTATCCATCATCAATTCAAGCTTAATATCACCTATCTGAATACTGATCATTCATATCGCTGGTTCATATCGTGACGAATAGACAGATAAGAGATAGAACGGTACTATGTCTAGCGACAAGGAACAATTGCTTTCGATGGGGTTTGAGGCTGCTCGAGTGGATTGTGAGTGAACGATTACATATCCAGTCGTCAAGGGAGCAACTTGAAATGTGCGGGCATGGGTTCGCAATTGGGTCGCAAAAGATCATTTTGACGCCC